TTGTGGCTGTGGCTGATTCATCATCACCTTCTTCTACAAAATGGCAAAAACTTAAGTCCTTTGCTTTACTTACGATCATGTCATGTAATATATCATGGACTTGACAACATTTAACGTTCCCTGCAAAGCCAACTGTCGAGACTTGAGCTAGACTTCTATAAATTAACTCAGTTAAGTACTCATCTGCAACTTGTTCCAAAGTTCTTCTCCCATCAGATTTGACAAACCCTTCTGCTATCCATTGTCGAGTTAACTTGTTATGATGAATGGAGTAGTCCTCCGGATAGATACCAAAATACAAAATGCATGGTTTCAAATGAAAATATTTGTCCTTGATGAACTGTAAATAAAAATTATCTTCTATGTGGATAATTTTAAGAAAGGAATGAAATTGGTAATATTGTTTCTATTTGTAAATAATAAAAAGTAATTTATGATGAAATGATTTATAATTTATTTATTTTTAGTAATGTCCAATAAGTATGTTTTTAATTTGGATTTACAAAATAGCAATTATATATTTAATATTTATGAATTTTAATCAAAATTACAAGTACACAATTATTATATTGTATGAACATTGATATATATGATGACACGTATCTTAAAAGTATCGTATTCTATATATTTTAAAATTATCATATCGTCGTATCGGATACGTGTCGTATCCGATACGCGTATCGTATCGGTGCATCATAGGCCAAAGCTTTGCTTCAAATTATGGCTGAGAAAAGTATTAAATTGTGCTTAACATGTCCTCTATTGGATAACTTGGGACAATTATTCATTTATTAAAACAATATAGAGTTTTTTGGAGTTTCTGAAATTCAGATTTCTCAAATGAGGCAAATATTGTAAAACACAAAAGGAAAAGAAAATTACTATCGTTTAATTAGTAATTTTCCTTTAACAAAAAGAGAAAGAAAAAAAAAAACCCTATTCTAGTATTTGACAAAATTAATAACATTTAAGCTTTCTTGTGGTTGTACAATTAAGTTAATTTATCTTTTAATTTGTTCATCTAAAGACAAAGGAAATTGAAAAAAAAAACATGATATGGTACCTTTAATTGTTTGACAGTGCTAGCCTTGTGTGTACGCGAGAGTGATGCCTCAGAGTGGAGTCTACAATGAGTGAACACACATTACTACTTCACTTTAAATCTTTTACTATTTTATTTTACAAACATCATCTTTTCTAATCTATACACATTTCTTATTTCAAGGATTTCACAATTACCAAATACAATAATTCAACGTAATGTTTCCTTTTTTACATAATTCTAATCTCTTTAAAATACATTATATATTTTTCTTTACCTTATGTTCCAACAAAGTGGAATTCACTTCCAGTTTGATTCATATTAAAAGGACAAGAGAGAGTATTGGGTAAAAAAAAAATCAACACTTATTAACAAGTGCCTTTAGTTAAAGATCCATGTCAACAGTGACTAATGAAGCACCTTTTTTTGAAGCAGTACAACTTCTCATTTTTGAACCATTACCTTTGAATCCATCCCGAAGAGCAACTATAACTGACTACAATCCAATAGGTGAAATAAGTTCTGCCAAAAAGGGAACATGTTAATCAGTTAAAGAGCAAGCAACAATCATGGAATTGTTTTTGCTGTAATGTCCATTAATTCAGTTCCAAATGCACAGTCACTTACTGAACCAGCCTTCAATCATTCAGCTCATTTTTCTCCAAAGTGGAGATTCGTGGCACTGGTAGTTCAGGCCCTGGAAACAGGAAAGCCTTCCCATATAAGTTTTTAAGACACTCAGCATTGGTCCTTCAATTTCTCTACAACTTTAAGTCTTATTTATTTATTTATTTCATCATAACACTACTTTTGAAAGTTCTATAGTTCAATTTATTCTAGGTCTCTTATTCATGTTCTTCATCAAGCTTTCTTAAGTTGTCATTGCCTACTGATTAGTTACCTTGTTGCCAATTAGTGGAAACAGAGGATGTTTTCAAGTCTAAGTAGATGTTCCCATGTCATGATAAGTGTTAACTCCATGTTGATGGAGACGAAATTTTGGGTTTCTATGATATTCTTTTGGTTTGAGACAAAAATTAAGAGTAAGAGTTAGACGCCCTCCGTCAACCTAACATTTTTTCCTAAACCTCGTAAATAGAATATTTAATAATTCACTTTGGTAAATTGAAGAAACGAGATAGACATCCACATTTACTTCAAGTCAAAAAAATTGATTGTTGTTAAAAAATTTCTACTCTAAGGTAGTTATATCAAATTTAATAATGCACATTATTTTTCTTGAAATCTTGCCAATTGGCTATTGATGAAAGTTTTCATAACAATCCATGACCAAATATGCTTACTATCACTTTTAACAATGTTCTCAAGTAACATTTACTCTCAAAAGAAAATAAATAAACATCATCATATCATCAATATAAGATACAAAAAGCAAAGTATTTATAAATGACTATAAACTTATAATAAAATTTGTGCTTTACTGCTTAAATCTTACCACTAATGGGAAAGAATTTTTAACTCAAATGAATTGGTTTGGTTTGTATGATTGAGCCTATCAATTTATATAAGCCACTCCAATGCAACAAATCAACTTGGTGGTCAATGACAGGTTGGGTTAGGTTTATCCATTGGTTTGAGATTTATTTATTTATTTTTATAATTATAAAATTGAGATATGTGGATAGTTTATTATATTATGATTGTGATTTATTTGTCTCCTTTAGATAGGAGGAGAGAGGTTTTAAAACATTTTTAAGTATAATATCTAAATTATCTTAGTTTTTATTTTTAAATTCAAAATTATAAGGGTACAAGGGAAAATTGATTTTTAAAATTTCTCCGATTTACTTGTCAACTAAACAAAAAAATAAAATAAAATAGTTACTCTCTTTTCTCATTAAAATTTCTTTGTTATCCTCTTCTCAATCAAATATAGAATTTCTTAGTATTTTTAAAATTTGGTTTAATTAATTTTTAATAAAAATTTAAAGTAATTACTTTTGAAGAAGTTTTATACATTAAGAAAGAAATGGTTATTTCTTTAAAATAAATTATATGAAATATGCTTTCGTTTTAAAAGACATGCTCAAAAGGCTGGATGAAAGATGGTCAGTATATGGAAGTAGTTAAATTAAACACGAAAGTAGTTAAATTAAACACGCACTTATTCTATGTTTATAATTTAGGTGAAGTATGTGATAGACTAGTTATACAAGTGGTGCATGGTGCACCATGAATCTTTACCATTAGATGCATCTAATTTAATAGTTTATTATACACCCTATCACACAAGATTTAACTTTCCAAATCTTTTATTAAAATAAATTAAAAAAAAACAATTTATTCAAAAAATATCTATTTACACAACTGCCACTCTTTGGTATTCACGTTCTACGGCCCGTTCTGAAATCAGAACGGGCCGTTTCAGATGAAAAAAATAATACATGACGAATGGAAAGTTGAGTGCAAAACAAGCCTAAAAATGCACTCAACATTTACCTACCTCTCCTTAACTGTCGAGCATCACTAAAGCCCTCTCTCTACCGCCTCCTGAACCGTCATAATGGACTTATAAAAAGCCTCTTCTGTCATTTTTACCGATTTGGCTATTTGAGCCGTTTTACTCATTTCTTGGATTACCAGGGCATAAGACTGCCCGCTCCACCACCTGCATAAACTAATTTTCTCATGATAGGCCAATCCGAATTACCATTTCCCATGTTGATGGCCTCCTCTTGAGGTTGAGACTACTTTTGGTGTTCCCCTTTCTTCAAGCACACTTCTATATTGAGAAAGACTTTAAACTACTTTTACTTGAGCTCAAACCCCACATCATTTTCTTTGATTTAGCATCTTGGATACCCTGTTTGACCTAGATATTAGGCATCAAGTCCTTCAATATGATATTATACGCATGATATTAGGAGCTTATGTTGAATCTATGGAGAAGCAGTGTTAGGAAAATAACTTACTTAGAGAGGTGCTGAATTTTGATCCATGCACCAAATGCATTCCTAGATTCTTCCATCAAGCTTCATGAATGTGGGTTATGCACCTAATTCAACTCTACAAAACCTGTTTGTAAGATAATAATTATTCTTTACTTATATTCTCTTTAATTGTCTTTTTTCTAATTTGTATGGAACTTAGATTTTTTTCAATATATTCCTTTACATCCAATATTATTGGACTTGATATGTGAATAAACGATAAGTGACTATTTCTAATAATTTAGGATAAGTGAAATTTAAATTTTTCTCGATAATTAACTTCATTCATTAATTTAAAGTATTATTATAGTGGTGTTTGTTTCATGGGTGAAATCATCACTAGTGCCACATTATCTGATGTAGTGGGATTTAAAGGTTGTAGAGAAATTGAGAGACATTCTCAATGAGAACTTTCATGCCAATATTGGGAAAAAATCCACGATAGTTTAGAAGTTTTTTTACTCTTCCCTTACCTTGTTGATGGAATGTATCACAAAAGAAACAAGCAATATCTAAAAATATTTCCTTTTCCATTTCCTTCAATCCATCAAAACTTATTCGTAACACCTCCATAATATCTTTGTTTGGATATTTTTTAAGTCTAGCCAATGCACTTCTCCACTCATAAACATCTCGATCAAACAAAAATGAGCCTAACACTTTAACTGCTAAAGGAAGGCCATCGACATATTTTAGTACATCATAGGTCAACTCTTTATAATCATTCAAAATATTATCAGATTTGAAAGCTTTTCTACAAAATAATTGAAGAGCTTTATTTGCATTCAACAATTGAACATTGTAAACTTCATTCACTCCATAATTTCTTAAGATATGATTATCTCTAGAGATTATGAGGATTCTACTCCCTACACCTAGATATTTAGGATGCAAAGCCAATTTTTCCAATTGTTCATCTCTAAGTAGATGTTCCCATGTCATGATAAGTGTTAACTCCATGTTGATGGAGACGAAATTGTGGGTTTCTATGATATTCTTTTGGTTTGAGACAAAAATTAAGAGTAAGAGTTACACGCCCTCCATCCACCAAACATTTTGTTCAAGAAGCTGACTGCGGTAAACATGTACCATTTCAAGACACTTACTCATTTAATATAAATACAAATTTTGTAAATCAGTTAATAGCCATCTTAACTATGAACCATAATATCAAGTATCTTACATCATGCCTGATATTATCTGGTTTTTTGTTTTACACAACGTTTTACATTTTTTCCTAAACATTGTAAATAGAATATCTAATAATTCACTTTGGTAAATTGAAGAAACGAGATAGACATCCACATTTACTTCAAGTCAAAAAAATGGATCGTTGTTAAAAAACTTCTCCTCCAAGGTAGTTATATCAAAATTAATAATGCACGTTATTTTTCTTGAAATCTTGCCAATTGGCTATTGATGAAAGTTTTCATAACAATCCATGACCAAATATGCTTACTATCACTTTTAACAATGTTTTCAAGTAACATTTACTCTGGAAAGATAAATAAATAAACATCATCATATCACAATATAAGATACTAAAAGCAAAGTATTTATAAATGACTATAAACTTGTAATAAAAGTTGTGCTTTACTGCTTAAATCTTACCTGTAATGGGTAAGAATTTCTTTGATGTAATTGTGGTTGAAAAGAAATTTTTACGTTTTCTGTGAATAAGTTCAATGAATGATGTGTGGCAAATTACTTGATAAAAGCTTCCTAGATGAGGAATTTCTACTGAACATCATGTTTAAGTTTAATTGTTGAAGATCTTCCTTAAATACCAAACGATATCCGCAATTTTTCACCACCAAATGCAAACCTTTAGGGTGGCCAAATATGGTAGTTTTGAATACCATTTTATCAATATAATTCATTTTGTCTTCATGTCGACATCGATCACAACTGATTATTTCCCGAGAGACAAAAATCATGAACAAGTGATCCATTTCACCCATGACCAGATCATTGTTTAAAAATATTGGAAGCATCCAATTTATATTTTCAAATTTGTAATCAATACTATGAAAATTATCATTCAAATTAGTAGGATCATCATGTGCCACTAACAAAGAACAACAGGCGACACCCATCCAATTTGGGTCTTCCATAACAGGAGACAACTCCATGCTTATTGACCTACCCACATTTTGTTTACTAAACCACCTTGGAATTTCAGTTCCAGGAATAACAATCCGGAGCCTTTGCAAGGAAAGGGAGGATTGCAAGAAAGCCTGATGCAAAAAATAAAATAATAATTAATCATTAATATGTATAACTACTTAAAAATTGTATACATAGAAAAAGTAAGATAAAGAAAAGAAGGAAAAGAAGGATGGAGTCGTTACCTTAAATATTTGTATCATCCAAGAAAAAACCATATGATAACAATGTCCCATTTCACTCAAATTGGGGCAATTAAAAATATATAACTGCCCAAAGTCGTATTGTTTGGTTGTTGGAAGCTCAGGCAAATATTTCAGCTGTTTGCAGTGCTGCAAATTTAAACATTGAAGATTGGAAAGCTCCTTGATGGTAGTAGGTAGTCTCACGAATTTGTTTCCCCCCAAATTTAAGCTTTCTAAAGACTGTAAGCTCCCAATAGCATCGGGAATTTGAAGTAGATTGCAGAAGCTTAGATCAAGATGTTGCAAACATGGGAAACGAGACAAATATGGCAACAATAAATCAAGTGAATCTCCATGTTTGTGAGAGGAAAGGAAATACAAAGGCAACATTAGAATTTCATATAGAGAGGATGTTGATAATTGGATAACACTTGTATTTTTATCAACGTTCTCCAAATGTTCTACCTCCCTTGGTTTCTTTAGAAGACGATTATTGAGTAATTTTGAGCAGCCTGAGAGAATTAGCATCTTAAGAGATTTGAGTCCGAAAAACATATTCAAATTGTGGAAAAGATTTTTACAATTTGTCAAATTTAGATAAAAAAGTTCTCTCAGAATACCAATGGATGGGTGGATCCGCGTAATATTTATACATCCTTCAAGAATAAGATCCCTAAGACGAGGAACTCCCGTTAAGTCTGGCACCTCAATAAGACTTTTGGAGTAGCTAAGATCTAGACATATCAAATTAGGCAAATGCTGTAAAAGAAACAAAAGAATGAAAGTTACTATCCATCATTTAATTTTTCATTTCTTTGACAAATAGAAAGAAAAAACGATAATCCCTTTCTTGTTTTGGATAGTAGGAGAAAAAATCAATGACATTTAAGTTTGCTTATGATTCTTTAATTATGTTATATATATATATATAGAGAGAGAGAGAGCATATCAAGTAAGAGGAAACTTATTATGAGAGATGAGAGGGTTAAAATATAACCCTTAGATTAATCAAGTGAGAGAAAATTTGGGGTTTAATCAAGTGAGAGGAAATTAATCTAAGGGTTATATTTTAACCCTCTCATCTCTTATAATAAATTCTCTCTCACTTGATATGCTCCTATATATAGAGCATATCAAGTGAGAGAAAATTTATTATGAGAGATAAGAATGTTAAAATATAACCCTTAAATTAATTAATTAAGTGAGAGAAAATTTGGAGTTTAATTAAGTGAGAGGAAATTAATCTAAGGATTATATTTTAACCCTCTCATCTCTCATAATAAATTCCCTCTCACTTGATATGTTCTATATATGAAAGCATATCAAGTGAGAGGGAATTTATTATGAGAGATGAGAGGGTTAAAATATAATCCTTAGATTAATTTCCTCTTATTAAACCCCAAATTTTCTCTCACTTGATTAATCTAAGGGTTAAAAAATTTCCTCTCACTTGATATAACCTCTATATATATATATATATAATATTTTTCTGTTTGTTTAAAGATAAATAAAATTGAAAACTAATAATATATTACCTTTGTGCCTTTCCATAATTGTTTGAGATTGCTATGACACAAGATCAACTCTACTAGATTATCCGGATGAAAATTTGATGGCAAACAAATGAAAGGATATCTATGCCAAGATAGATATCTTAATTCGTTAGAAAGATAGTTGAGACTTCCCAAAAAATTCACATTCTGAAGTATGAGCAACTTGAGATGCTTCATTTTTGATATAACATTCCCTGCCATTGTTTTGTCGTCCAAATGCTGTCCATAATAAATAACCATGGCTTCAAGATTTTCGGCTTCCTAAAGCATAGCAAAAAGAATGAAAATGTAGATTTCTTAATAATTTATAGATTTTGAAAAAATGGCAACATAAGATTTTATATTGAAAAATTATTTTACCTCATTTTTTATCATGATATTTTGGAGATCCTTGAAGTCCCATAGCCTACTCCACTTTATTGGTTCATTAGGTGATTTTTCTCGAACAATACTTCTGCCCAACTCTTTCAACAAGTCGTGCATTTTAACATCCCAATTATTACAAGTTATTAGTGATTTCTCAATGAGAACTTTCATGCCAATATTGGGAAAAAATCCACGATAGTTTAGAAGTTTTTTTACTCTTCCCTTACCTTGTTGATGGAATGTATCACAAAAGAAACAAGCAATATCTAAAAATATTTCCTTTTCCATTTCCTTCAATCCATCAAAACTTATTCGTAACACCTCCATAATATCTTTGTTTGGATATTTTTTAAGTCTAGCCAATGCACTTCTCCACTCATAAACATCTCGATCAACCAAAACCTATCCTTCTATTCTCTCTTTTAATGCCAGTTGCCTAACAAATATGCTCACTTTTAGGGTTTGTCCTACCATAGCCACCTACCTTCACTTTGGAAGAAAAATGGGCTTAATGGCTTTTAGGATTCAAGCTTGGTTCAATCATAAGTGAATGGACGCTACATCAGAATTAGTTCAAGGAATTGTTGACAGGTCTTGAGTTAACAAGTTTTTTGTTTCTTGCAAGCACTTAAAAGTGCCTAACTCACATATTATATATTTTATAGAAATTTGAGAGCCAGAGTGTAGAGTATATTAGTCATCATAGAGTTCTTGAAATCTCTTTTTTTTTGTGATTTTATTAGTCATAAGCGACTAATTCACTTATTATTAGGATTTGAAGTTGTTGAATCTACTCATGTATTTCTTCCTATTCTTATTCAATTGAGTTTTTATTCAACTAATTGTTGTTCTGATTTTCATAATGTGTATTTCAACTTGTTGATCGCCCTTTACATGATCCCATAAAATTAATTGAAATTGAAAAAAAAATTGGCAAAAAGTTGTTACTAAGCTATGAGCTAATAAAATTTGCAACCACCCTAACTAGGTTGGCATCAAAGCAAATAATAACTCAGGATAGCAAAGACCAATCATATAAATCAGGTAGAGAGAAAGCATAAAGAAAACATGGGGGGACAAAGCCAAATCCACTATAAAAGAAAAAAAAGCAGCACTATCTAAACCTATAATAGGGAAGAGCAAGTCTATCCTTAACAAAGAGAGAAGATACAAGTGATGGTGTATAATCCCACCAACAAAAGCCATGTATAGAATTATCATGAGAGGCAAGTTTATCTGCATAAATATTACCTTCACAAAAAGTATGTCCCATAATGAGAGTCATTGTACTACAAGACCAATTGTTATTATCTACGGATATTACCTATACAGAATTTTTTTTGCAGATAATTTTTAATTATCTACGGAATATTACCTATGAAATTATTTATCTACGAAAAATTATCTATGAAATTTTTTTCGTAGATAATGTTTAGTTATCTACGGAATATTACCTACGGAATTAGTTATTTGCGGAATATTACTTACAGAATTTTTTCGTAAATAATTTTTAGTTATGTACAAAATATTACCTATGGATTTTTTTTAGATAATTTTTTAGTTATCTAAGTGATGTAAAGAATATTTGGTAAAAAATAAATATTATTAAAAATTGTCATTTTAAATTTTTTATTTTTATAAATTAATGATGATAAAAAATAACATACTAATATCTGATTTTAAATTTGATATATTTAAAAGTTTAAATAATAATTTACATATTTTAAAATGAGAAGGGTTATAATAACACCGGTGTAACTTTTACTAAGTATTACACCGCTCAATAACTTTATATTAAATGTGAATTTTATAAATTCAACCGTTAGATTGAAATTTTTTTACTCTTAGATCACATATACAAAATTTTATATTAATTCAAGATGATTTGATACTTCATTCTTGTAAAACAAAATTAACCTAATATATACATTTCAAAATATACTAAAATATGAACACTTTGATTACCTTCAATTTGTTGTTCAATTTTGACAAAATTTTATATAAACATATAAAGTGATATGAACTTCAATCTAACGGTTGGATTTACAAAATTCACATTTAATATAAAGTTATTGAGCGGTGTAATACTTAGTAAAAGTTACACCGGTGTTATTATAACCCTTCTCATTTTAAAATATGTAAATTATTATTTAAACTTTTAAATTTATAATAAATAACTTAAATTGTATCATAATATTAATTTTAAATAGAAATAAGTAGATTTCTAATTATACAAGTAAGTATGTATATATATATATATAAAGATTAATTAAATATATAATATAATTATTATATATAATGTTATATTTTTATAGCGGTCTAGACATACCAAAATGAGAGGATCCAAAAATAGTATAAGTATGAGATTGTATAGTTGAGGATGACTTAAATGAATTAATTTGTATTCGGCTCTTCTCCGAAGTTCGTTTATGTCTGACGGGGTTTTTTTACAAAGACTATTGACGAATGGTCCTGGTTTCAAAGCTGTGGTTAGATGATGGAGTACTACTGCTGGATTGAGATCTCGGATTTCCAAGGCTGTTTTATTGAAACGATCCATGAATGCCTGAAGAGTCTCCTTCTTGTCTTGCCGAAGACTGACCAGTGACAGGGATGTCAAGCTGTGGGGCCGGCTCGTTGCGAACTGAATGGTAAACTGTGACGACAAGGTGTTGAATGAGTCGATTGAGTTAGGAGGTAGCCGAGTGAACCAACTCAAAGCCCTGCCTTTGAGAGACATTGGAAAGATCCAACACAAAGTCGCATCATCTGTGGTGCTCAAGGTCACCTGCGTAAGAAAAACATCAAGATGTTCGTCAGGATCCGAAGTACCATCATATTTATCAATCGGCAGCAATTTCCAGTTATCCATTAAAGGCAACTGCATGATAGAGGGTGTAAAAGGATGCCACTGTGATCCCACTGTTGCTACATCGGTGGGACGTCCAACTGTAGGCAGGGCCGATTGAAATTTTTGTGGTGCCGCAGCCGAGGCATGTATAGCCGAGGTATGGATATCGTGGGATTGGAAAGATCCGTGTGTTTCAGTGTTAGTAGGCTGGGTAGGTTTCCATGAGGAGTCTTGACTCCTTAACGCCTCATTTTCGGCTCTCAAGGCCGAAAGTTCCTTTGCATCCTTCTCTCGCTGCTGCTTCATTGCAGCCATCTCCTGCTTGAGCAAGCGCACGGTCTCGATGAGATCGGTTTCGTCCTCAACTTGAACGTGCTCTTCCTTGGTTTGGTGATTTTCAGTGTTCATTCTCCTTGTCTTCGTCATAGTCTTGTCAAGTCTTCAAGTCTTTCTCGGTTCGGCCCCACGGTGGGCGCCAAAATGTACCTGTCAAAAGGATACACCAATAATCTTCTCGTATTCTGAGGGCCGAACGAGTACTCCGATCCAATGTAAGTAGAGGGGGTGGTACCTGCAAAAGGCACTCCAACGCCCAAGTCAGGACAAGCACAGATATCTAGGATAATTAATGAACAGTGACGTTACCTTATGACATGAGCTATTTATACTGACATTTATGGGCCCTGACCTGGTTGGGCCCTGTGGCAAGATTACCGTATTAGGTAATACGCCTCTAATCGGTTTATTAGTATGATTAACTCTTAATCCTAATTCTTTATTAGTGAGTCTGGATTTATGGGTCATCTGGTTGCTGATCGACCACCCGGTTCGGCCGTTCGGGTGCCGAATGGGTGTCGGCTACCAGGTGGCCGAGTAGCCTTACTAGTACATGTATAATTACTTAAAAATTGTATACATAGAAAAAGTAAGTTACAGAAAGGAAGGATGGAGTCGTTACCTTAAATATTTGTATCATCCACGAAAAAACCATATGATAACAATATTCCATTTCACTCAAATTGGGGCAATTAAAAATATATAACTCCCCAAAGTCGCATTGTTTGGTTGTTGGAAGCTCAGGCAAATATTTCAGTTGCTTGCAGTGCTGCAAATTTAAACACTGAAGATTGGAAAGCTCCTTGATGGTAGTAGGTAGTCTCACGAATTTGTTTCCTCCCAAATTTAAGCTTTTAAAAGACTGTAAGCTCCCAATTGCATCGGGAATTTGAAGTAGATTGCAGAAGCTTAGATCAAGCTGTTGCAAACATGGGAAACGAGACAAATATGGCAACAATAAATCAAGTGAATCTCCATGTCTGTGAGAGGAAAGGAAATACAAAGGCAACATTAGAATTTCATATACAGAGGATGTTGATAATTGGATAACACTTGTATTTTTATCAACATTCTCCAAATGTTCTGCCTCCCTTTGTTTCTTTAGCAGACGATTATCAAGTAATTTTGAGCAGCCTGAGAGATTTAGCACCTTAAGAGATTTGACTCCGAAAATGATGCTCAAATTGTGGAAAAGATTTTTACAATTTCTCAAATTCAGATAAAAAAGTTCTCTCAGAATACCAATGGATGGGTGGATCCGCGTAATATTTATACATTCTTCAAGAATAAGATACCTAAGACGAGGAACTCCCGTTAAGTCTGGCATCTCAATAAGATTTTTGGAGTAGCTAAGATCTAGATATATCAAATTAGGCAGATGCTGTAAAAGAAACAAAAGAATGAAAGTTACAATCCATCATTTAATTTTTCATTTCTTTGACAAACAAAAAGAAAAAACGATAATCCCTTTCTTGTTTTGGATAGCAGGAGAAAAAATCAATGACATTTAAGTTTTCTTATGATTCTTTAATTATGTTATATATATATATATATAAATTATCTTTTTTATGTTTGTTTAAAGATAAATAAAATTGAAAACCAATAATATATTACCTTTGTGCCTTTCCATAATTGTTTGAGATTGCTATGAGACAAGATCAATTCTACTAGATTATCTGGATGAAAATTTGATGGCAAACAAATGGAAGGATATCTATGCCAATATAGATATCTTAATTCATTAGATAGATGGTTGAGACTTCCCAAAAAATTCACATTCTCAAGTATGAGCAACTTGAGATGCTTCATTTTTGATATAGCATTCACTACCATTGTTGTTTCCAAATGCTCTCCATAATATTGTTCAATAACCATGGCTTCAAGATTTTTGGCTTCCTAAAGCATAGCAAAAAAGAATGAAAATGTAGATTTTTTAATAATTTATAGCTTTTGAAAAAATGGCAACATAAGATTTTATATTGAAAAGTTATTTTACCTCATTTTTTATCATGATGTTTTGTAGATCCTTGAAGTACCATAGTCTATTCCACTTTATTGGTTCATTAGGTGATTTTTCTCGAACAATGCTTCTGCCTAACTCTTTCAACATGTCATGCATTTTAATCTTCCGACAATTACAACTTATGAGTGATTTCTCTAAAAGAACTTTCATACCAATGTCAGGAAAAAATCCGCGATAGTTTAGAAGCTTTTTTACTAATCCCTTACCTCGTTGATAGTGTGTATCACAAAAGAAACAAGTAATATTTAAAAATATTTCTTTTTCCATTTCCTTCAATCCATCAAAACTTATTCGTAACACCTCCATAATATCTTTGTTTGGATATTCTTTTAGTCTATCCAATGCACTTTTCCACTCATAAACATCTCGATCAAACAAAAATGAGCCTATCACTTTAATTGCTAAAGGAAGGCGATCAACATATTTTAGTACACCATAGGTCAACTCTTCATAATCATTCAAAATATCATCAGATTTGAAAGCTTTTCTACAAAATAATTGAAGAGCTTTATTTGCATTTAACAATTGTACATTGTAAACCTTCATTCACTCCATAATTTCTTAATATATGACTATCTCTATAGATTATTATAATTCTACTCCCTACACCTAGATATTGAGGATGCAAAGCCAATTTTTCCAATTGTTCATCTTGATCAATATTATCTAGAACAATAAGCTCCTTTAAGTGGCATAACCTAGTTCTTACCAACAAGGTTCCTTGGTAAAGATTGTTTATCTCAACATTACCTTGATTTAGAGCTTGACAAAGAAGTTGTTTTTGTGCAACCATGGGTCCAAACTCTCCATAAAATTTGCTTACATCATCAATGAGACAACAAGCATCATATTTATGAGAGATTTTATCAAATAAAGCAGTAGCGAGTACTGTCTTTCCTATGCCACCCATCCCACTCATTCCTATTACTCGAACAACTTCATTTGCATCTGGATCTACAAGTTCCTCTAGTTGTTTTACGCGAGAGTGCATATCAACTAAATCATCTCCAAAATTCAAAATTTGATTATGACCCAATAAGTTGATTACCTCTTCAACAAATTTTTCTATTTCTTCATGTTGTAGCCTGAAAACCAAAGTGGAGCAAAAACATTGATGCATCACTAAGTTTGAGACTTTTTTTTTAAAAAAAAAAAAACTCTATATATAATACAAAAAAATATGGCCAAGCACTTATTCAGTACATCCCACCCAGAACCACTACTAGATTTTAATCTTTTAGCAACATTTTCTTGTTTACATTTGTTAAAATGTTACTATATATTAAATAAATATTATTTTGTAACACTTTTTTTAAAAATGTCATTATAGATAGAGACATTTTTTATTTCAATATTATTCTTTCTAATTGTTTTCAAAATCAAAGTCCCATATCGAATAAATTTTTTTTTACATAAGTTATTTTGCAACATTTTTTGGAAAAATGTTACTACAATTGCTTCTAAAATCAAAGTCCCACATCGAGTAAAAAAAAGTATATTTCTCTTATATCTAATTGTAACTCATAATTAAAGTCCCACATCGAATATATTAATGACTTATAAAGAGTATATATACTCATATAGTTATATTTAAGATAAATGAAATTTGATATTCTATATATAATTAATGGTGATTAACTAAAAATGTATTTCCCTAAAAACTTAAGGAACTCTTAGAAGTTTAGGAAACATAAAAATATAATAATTGATAGTAATATTTAAATTAAAATTAATTTTTATTTTATAAGATTAACAAAATATTGGTAACATCATTAAAATGTTACAAAAAATTATTAAAATGTTACAAAAATACTACTTTGGTAACATTTAAAAAATGTTACCTAATTATGCAAAAATGTTATTAAAAGTCTTTAGCAACATGGACTATATACAACATTTGATAATATGTTGCTAAAACAAATTAGCAACATTTATACATAATTAAGTAACATTTTTCAAATGTTGCTAAATACCATTTGTGTTGTAGTG